GTTGATGATGGTGGTATAGATGATGATGTTGACGATGAAGTATTGGATGATGATGATGAGATGTCACAAACCAAGCGTCAAACAAGATCTATCGTCAAMAMAACACACCRCAWCRATGMTACAAACAGTTCAAAAACATCCAGCAATAAAGAGAAGAGAGCACAAAGAAAGAGCAAAAATTTGGTGTCACAGGAAAGCAGTCAAGTCTCAAACACCGAAGAAGTTAATGAAAACCCAAAGGAAAACTCGACGGATGATGAGAAGAAGCACTCGGAGAATGAAGAAGACAAAAACGCAGGCAGAAAAGGTTTGCATAAGAATTCATCCTCAGATGAAGACAAAAGCGACAACAAAAGTGACCAGACCACTAGAAAATCAAGAGGAAGACCAAGGAAATCTACTCGATCACTGGTTGAAACATCTCAATGTGATGAGGTGCTAGGATCAAATGATATGAATGACTGCACAGATCAGACTCATACCGACCACAACAGGGGCAGCCAAGCTGACAACACCAAAGACAGTCAGATTGACAATGGCCAGAAGAATCAAACAGACATCTCTAAGGTCAGTCAAAACGACCACACCAACGACACCCTGGACTGTCATGATTCTCAAGTGTCCATGAGCAATGATTATGAAGCAGACGAGTCCAAGACCATGTCAGACAGCAAAAAGGCAGCATCAGAGAGCAAAGACGATAAAAAGAGCAAAAAGAAACGACGCAAAAAGACAAGTGTTATACCAAAACAACTGAAGAACGCAAACAGAAAGCGAGGAGGGAGAAAATTACCCAAAGATAACACAAGCAGAAGTGGAGTAGAGTCAAATGCATCGTCAGATGAAAGTAGCAAGGCAGAGAAGGTGAACAAGAGAGGGAAACGAAAAACACAAAGCAAAGGTACCACCCAAGATAATTCTCAATTAGGACAAACATCAGATGTTAATGAAGACATACCAGAGGCAGTCGCAACCGATGAAGACTACCAGTCAGTTCAAGATACAATAAAAAGTGATACTATAGCAAGTGATAAAGCACTTTCGACAGGTGAAGATGATGAGTCTAAAGCCACATACGATGATGAAAACATAACCCACCAAGACAGCAGAAAGAGAAGAGGACAAGAAAACAAAGACACAGAAACTACTATTAACAAGAAATCACGATCAAGAAACAAATCAAACATAAACCAAACAGCAATGTATAGTACTTCTGAAGATGACAACCAGTCTGACAGTGCAATGGTGACCAGGAAGACCAGACAACAAGACAAGAACAAAACTAGAAGTATTAACAATAATACTCGATCAAGAAAAAGACGCAATGACTCTTCAGAATCAAGCACAGGATCTGATAACGACAGCCAGTCTGAAAAAGAAAAACCAAGAAAGACCAGGAAAAAGAACAAGAAAGACAAAAATGAAACAACAATCAATGAAAAACCCCAAACGAGAAGCCAATCAATCCTCGATGACAACACACCTGAGACTAACACCCCCATGATGACCAAAAGCCCTTTCCTCCATCCAAAAGAATCAACGATTATCAAGTCCATCTTAAAATCAAGTTTACCAAGAAACTCCAACTCTAAACATCGTAGAGTTAGTATTGCAGCAAAGAGAAATGAAGTAAAGAGTCCTGAACTGAACAGCGCCAGAAAAAACGACAGACGATCATCGGTGAGCTTCGCGGCAACTCCGTCATTCCGAGTTGCACCCGATGACTTTACGACGCCAGAAGACACTCCACTCGGCTACCCTACGATGTCTTTTGTGTCCGATTCAAGTTCTTACACACTAGGGGAGAGTACTTTTACACCGGGTAGCAGTATATCGCTTTCATCAACGATCTCGTCTGTAGGGTCAGCATCAAGGCTGTCCCCTGTTAGTAGTACATTTAACGAGTCGCAAGAAGTTACTATCACTAGTGCTAAACGACAACAAGTTGAAGAAGTCCAGGAAGACGTTATCAGGCGCAGTAAAAGAACCAAAGTACCGCCTGTACAATACTGGAAGAACGAGAGGATAAAATACGAGAGAAGGAAGTCAGGTAGGTCATTTTTGATTGAAATCATTTTACATAGGTAAAATATATTTTCGGCTAGTATTTCTAGTAAAATTGTCACCAATAATAACACTTGTATCAGGCTCCTGGATAGAAGTTGGAAGAGTGATCTACAATTTCTATTAGATGGATGGCTGTTCCATCTACAATTTCTACAAGATGGATGGCTGTTCCATCTACATTAATCGATATCAGTATGATACTATATGTTTCATAAGAATGTTTTATTCTTTTAACTCGTGTATTTTATGCTAAGGTTGGTATATTGACGGAATCGAGAGCGTCCCAACACCTAAAGTACCAAAACGAAAAGCCAGGAAAGCTAGAAAGAAAAAAGGTACTATTTTTATTCTATTTTTGATTGTTCTGTTTAGTATACCCTTCTCATGCAGATGTTTGACATGTTTGTACATTTATATCCTATTCGTCTTGTTTCATTTTTTATTCTCATTTCCATTTGTTCATTATTTCTTTAATAACTGGAATAATAGAGAGAGTAGCAGCTCAGAGTGTGTATGATGGATATGGTGGCGACGAGCCG